GAGTGGCTATCATGATGTCCCCCTCCCAACAGCATCGAAGGCTCTCATGCAGTTGGAACCAATCTCCTTCAGGATCATGACAGCGAGATTCAACTCAAAAGAAGGGAAGGTCACAATCATACAATGCTATGCACCTACAAATAATGCAGAGCATGAGAAAAAGGAGGAATTTTACAGACAACTTCAATCAATACTGGACAAGACCTCAGTTGGCGATATCAAAATTCTAATGGGCGACAAGAATGCCAAACTGGGAGGGGACAACACAGGAAGAGAACTAACCATGGGTCGAGAAGCGCTCGATGAAATGATGAACGAGAATGGAGAATTGTTTGCAGAATTCTGTGCATTCAACGATTTAGTGATTGGAGGCACTGTGTTCAAGCACAAGGATATTCACAAGGCAGCGACATGGATTTCACCAGATGGACACACTAAAAATCAAATCGACTTTATCTCAATCTCAAGAAAATGGAGACGCAGTCTACTTAACACAAGGTCAAGAAGAGGAGCAGATGTAGGTTCAGACCACTCACTGTCTAGTGCAAGGAACCTTCCAAATCAAGTTAAAAGCCTTCAAGGAAGCTGGTGATAGACCTCAGTTCAAGTACAACACTCGGAAACTGAAGGACGAAACTACAAAGGAAATCTTCACATCAGTCAGCCATCAAGACGGAATGGGAGATATCGAGCAACATCCCTGAAGAAATCTGTGTGGAAGAACACTGGAAGTCTTTGAAAGAGATGTGGAAAGAAACCTGCACAGCCGTATTAGGGAGGAAGAAGAATCAAGACAAGGAATGGATCTCAATGGATACATGGAAGGTGATAGAGGAGAGGAGGATGGTGAAGCAGAAGATAAACCGGTGCAAGGACGCTCAACGACAAGAGGAACTAAGCACAACGTATAAAATACTGGACAAAGAAGTAAAGAAGAGTGCACGCAAAGACAAAACACACTTCTACGAAACACTGGCAAGTGAAGCAGAACAGGCTGCATGCTGGTAAGAGAGACCTGACAACATTGTATCAAATAACCAGGTTACTATCTGGGAAGAGATCAACGCAGATGAAACCAACAAAACATGATGACGGAAATTTAATTACGAAAGAAGAGAAACAGAGGAAACGATGGGCCGTCTACTTCAAGAAGCTCTTGAACTGACCACCACCTGCACTTCGTCCAGAAATACCACCTACAACCGCTGAACTACAAGTGAACATAAATCCTCCAACAAAAATGGATGTCCTGAACGCCATAAAGCTACTGAAATGTGGGAAAGCAGCAGGACCAGATGGGATCCCACCAGAAGCACTGGAAACAGACACAGAGACAACAGTGGACATGTTCACACCACTATTACAGAAGGTGTGGAAGGAAGAGAAGGTACCTGGCTAGTGATTGGAAGAAGGGTTACCTTGTCAAACTGCTGAAGAAGGGAGACCTCAGTGTTTGCAAGAACTGGCGCGGAATCACTCTCCTGTCCACCCAAAGCCAGCAAAATATTAAGCCGCATCATCCTGGAGAGGTTAAATGATGCGCTGGATTCAAAACTACGACCGGAACAGGCAGGCTTCAGGAAGTACAAATCAGGTGCAAACCAAATTGCAACCCTTAACATCATCATAGAACACAATATAGAATGGCAGTCAACTCTTCACCTTACCTCAACTTTATCGACTTTGAGAAGGCCTTTGACAGCGTCGACCGAGAGGTAATTTGGAAACTGATTCAATACTACGGAATACCACAAACCTTTATCAGCCTCATTCAACAACTATATGAAGACTCCACATGCCAAGTAATTCACAATGGGAAGCTCAGTGATGCTTTTGAATTGAAGTGGAGACAGGAGTGAAACAAGGTTGCCTACTATCCCCATGATATTCCTGATTGTGGTCGACTGAATCTTCTAGGGTCCTGATAAAAATCTAAAGAAATGAATTATCTCTTTCCCTACTGCAGATCCGAAGGAAAGTTCAATCATGAATATAGTATTCAGAGTGGACACCACAGTCAAAGTGTATCAGTATTACCTTTTATTCTGCTGAACTGAGGTTGATATTCTCGAGCCGTCATCTGACTTGACAATGTGTGACGGATAGGTTGCCGCTTATGTCCACATCTATGTGTATCTACAAATTCACATGTTTCTTTGGAGCCGACTATATTGGACGTTGTAAGCGGACCCTCCAAAAATGCGTGCCTTAACCTTACCCGGTTTGGCTTACCGAAGGCCAAAGAAGGAAAAATACTTAATCTCCATTTAGTTCATAGAGCAAATGATGAAGCCAGAAGTATCTGACTAGACACTTGAAGGAATTATTTGCTGTGAACTGGAATTCTGATTTCCGTTTATAGTAAATCAGCTTAAACAGTGACTTATTATAAGCCAAGACTAGTTGTTATACCCATTACTTTTATAAGCTGATAAACTTGGTATGAAAAATTTGTGCTTTTTTTCATAGGAATAGCTTGACAGAATGTAGCCACCATTAGTTTTGATGTCATGCATTTCACCGCTAGCCACTATCCATCAACACCATCATTAGTCTTGTTTACTGCATTTCAAATATAGCTTTCTTCAAGCTAAAATTCATAGTGACAGCATATTTTATCAATATGTAACATTATATGGGTGGTGATAGTTCCAATATAGGGTGACACAATATATACATAGTATATATGCTCAATGTTCAGATAAAAGGTTGATTGAATAAGTAGCTTAACCTGACAGTCAGTAATTCTGTAATTAATCAATAAATTATTTTTATCAATGAAATAAAAAAAGACGTTTGTGGCACACCCATACACATTATTTGAAGTTTTTTCTAATGCAAGCGAGCTGTCTTATTTTTCGCTTCAGTTTTAGTAATTCATTATTACAGTCTAACTGTCCATATGAACCAAACTATTGGTGTTTTGTGTTGTTAGTAGTTTCCTTGGGGACTACTAATGCTGGTACAACTTTTGTTTAGAATTAATGTTGAAACAAAACAAACAAGTATTAATTAGATTCTTCTTCTCAAAAGAAGGCCATTTTTATATAATCACAAAAGTAGCTAACATTCAAGTAGAATTTGTGGAGAGTAAAAGCTTCATTAACCTTGTCTTAGTTATTTGCTGATATGATACTCAGAAATATAAATAATTTGCTGAATATTTATCGAAAAAACTCATTAAGATGACCCACAGTGGATTGTGTAAAATATTTTTGTTGATCAACTTTTACGTGTTAGCATATGTTCATGTTTGGTGAGTTTTTTCTATTACTGATAATGAAAATGTTGCTCACTGGCTTAAATATTTGAATTGCTTTTAAAGCCAACTACACTCACTTTGGTCTGGACAACTGGATAGGAGTCTAAACCTTTACGCAACAAGCTTTGCTCTTAGCATAGTTAACACAAGTGTACCATGTTGAATTGACTTTACGTTACTTTACCGTCAGTTTTAACAGCAAGTTTCAGGCATATTTATCAATTATTAATGATTATGAAATCACTAGCAGGATAAAGAACTATTACGGTGATGTAGTATGACTGTAGTTACTTCAAAGTGTTTTGACATGCCCGCAATTTCTAATGAAGAATCCATAATCAACTATGATTACAGACTAAAGTGACAAGTTGAACTTACTGTTGATCATCAGTCTTTCAGAAGATAAAATTAAGTCTTTCTAGTATGTCAATGATGGTGTTATGAATAATATTTGAAGGATTACGTTTCTGAAATAGTCACAAACTCATTCTATGCTATGAACAATCGTTTCTATTAACGTTCGTTTAGGATATGAAAGGCAACGTATTGAGCATTTACCTTTCATTCACTCTGTTATATACCTTAATGCTTTGTCAATAATTCCAACCGGACTTCTCTTAATCCCCATTGATGGCTTGCAAAGAAGAGAACATCTTCAAAAGAAGTAGTAGATAAAAAAACATTTCCTCAGAATACGCTGTATACTCAGGGGCCGTAGAGCAACAAGAATGTAAAGTAAAACCACAAATAAATCAAGATTATTTCAGTATACAGGAATCCATCTACTCAAAAAATTTTCAGCAACTCAGTCACTATCAAAACATGTATCCAATAAGATATTCTAAGTAAACACTCCGTAAACATGTTCTGCTTCAGCTTGCGTATTCTATGTGGGCGTCATTTAGTGAATAACAATATCTAAGAGATCCTTGATTCGCCGCAAGGAATCTGATGAGAAGTAGAGATAATGATGGCTGGTGGCTAGCAGTGGAATCCAGGATGCGCATTTCGTCCTGTTTGGGACTCATCAGCTGGATGTGCCCGCTTCCCATTGAGTGATGTTGTTCCCACCGAGATTCGGACTCGGTAGCGATCGCTTCAAGGTCCAGCGCGTTATCCACTACACCACCGAGCCACGATAGCCACTTCGTGTGCAACGGGTATAGTTTTTAGTATAACTGTTTTTATATGACACCGTCGTTGATTGACCGCATTGATCGGTCTCTATTAGCATATGGCCTCGATATCGCCAGCGTTCTAATTATGTTAATTATGTATCGTGGCTAGCAGTGGGAACAACATCACTCACTGGGAAGCAGGTACATCCAACTGATGACTCCCAAATGGGATGAAATGCGCATCCTGGATTCCACTGCTAGCCACGATCCACCATTGACATAATTAGAAAGCTGGCAGTATGAGGCATCCACACAGGAGCCCACATGCCAATAGAGACCGATCAATTCGGTCCAATCAACGACGGTATTATATAAAAACAATTATACTAAGAAGTAGAGATAGTTACGAACTAAAGGAGTCGATAAGACGTCCACTGCAACATATTCGAGACAGATCCCCTACCAAAAGCATATTATTATTATTTTTGTTGTTATAGGTGATGTTCCTCATATTTCTAATGAGCCCCAAATAGAAAATCAGATACTAGATTCTACTATCAGTTATGAGTAAGATATGCATGGTAATATAATCTGCTTTTACACCTTCCTTAACATTCTAGATGGGATGAACAGCTGAATTCATTAAAAGCAGATCATCAGCTAGAGAAAATCTCCTTAGAAGAACAGTTATTACAGATGACGAGTAAATGCAAGGAATTAGAAAGGCAACATGAAAATGCTAATCAAACCATTCTAGTATTAGAGTGTAAAATTAACAAATATGAAGATGACTTACGACAAAGTCAAATAAAGTTAACAGAACAACAACAAACATCAAGTTTAATTGTGAAAAAATGCGTTCAACTGAAAGAACATTGGCAAAATCAGATGAAAAAATATAAAGATCTTATTAAAAAGAACTATGAAGCTAAAAAGATGAAATATCCAAACTAAAAGATGAAATCTCTACAAGCTTTAAACGGTTGGAAAATGAATTCGAAGATCATAAAAAACAAATTGATGCAGCTGCCGAAGTAAGTCATATATATTGAAAACAGTTCAGTGAATGGAATCCCAGTCAACCGTTCATTTTCAAAAGCTAACAATCATATGTAAATACTAGGTCTTTATGTAATGCTTCTAGCTAAAACCATGTACAATATTTCATTTCAAATAACTCAGATTGAATTTAAGGGCTAGAAAGTGTGCATGAGATGGAGGAATCAGTTGTAAATGAAAGTCGCTAAAAGCTATTCAACCTCATTTGGAATAAATATCAGTAACAAGTTTGGCGCTAGACAGATGATTCATGAACCATAATGAATCCCAAGCAAAAGCTTTCAGAGTCTTCTGAAACAGAATGGAGATTTTGTAGAGTGAGCTAACTCTAGGAGTTTGATCTCCATATAGTATGCTCTATAGTTGTCTGACTCTTGCTTAACAAAATAGTCCAGGAAGAATTTCAGGTACCAAACAGATATATAGCACCTGTCTCAGGTAACTTACCACTGACTTCTTTCATAGTAATTACGAGACAGCACTTAAATACCTGACAAGATTAATTCAAAGTATTCTGTGTACTGCTGATGTTCTGTCACTTTGGGATAAAAGCATTTTAGTAGCCGTCTCTAAGGTCCTATGTACGGTGTACAACAATCACACTTCACAGAATTCACGAAATTACCGAAAAAAGTGATTCACAAGAAGCGAACTACGTTTCACTCAGGTCACGGATGCATTGATCACAAGCACAGCCTCCGCTAAATACTTGAATCTTAAACGTAAGAAAGGTGCTTGCATGTATAATAGCCTACATGCTACTAGAACCCTACCTAATCAGTTACTTGGAAGTGAGGTGTGTGCTTTGAGCAGCTGAATTGTAAATTACTTTTGTAAGATGGTTAGATGGGTGTGTCTGGACAAATTCGAGGTCCACCGTTGACGGTATGTATCTGAATGTTTGTGAGAAGTGGTTCAAGTGTGAACAACGATATTTCCAACAGTATATTGACAGATGCAGTAATATTTACCACCTCAGGTTACTTTTGCCTGCCATCACGCAATTGCTCTGACTAGCAAGTTTCGGATAAACAAAGCTTCGGCCCAAGTAGATTCGCCTACTTATTACTAAAACATTGTGTCGACTACTTTAAGGAAATTGGGTTTAGTACCATAGCTAAATATTTAGATAAGTCAAAAGTAGGAGTGTTCCTAAAGTCTACTTTGGGTCTAATATCATAACCTGGTTTACGAACTTTAATAGTACCATAAATCCTACTGGGATTAATAATTTTCGGCATTAAATTAAACCATTAAGACTCACTCATAAATGGCTTCATTCGGCGTATCAGATCCACCGTGGTTCTTTTAACTTTATTGATGATATTGTCCATTGGCTTCTTAATTTCTTCGTAAGGTCCTGTTTCTACATGTTCCTTGATTTTCTAAATATAATCAGACTTGTTTAAGACTACTGTTGAGTTGTCTTTGTCCGACTTAGCAATTACTATATCGTTGTTATTTCGGAGGTTCTTGAAAGCTTCTTTTTCTGCTATTGGCAAATTGCGTTTTGTCTTCTTCTGTACTCTAAGAAAAGTTACTATTCGCTATAAGGGTATGATGACAGATTGTAGATGTTGTAATCTACCTGAAGTTGGTGATTTTTTTTTATGAAGTGTACTTGAAGGTTTTAAACGGTCCTTTCCACTACCTTCCTAATCACAGCAAAAAATTCATGCAAAAGTATTGTCATACGAAAAAAGAATCCAAGAGAATACAAAACAGGCTGAAGAAAACATGCGGAATAAATTAAGGGAAGCATCTGACCGTTACAGAGAGGAAATTGATCAGTTACGCGTTAGTGTAGAAAGTGAATTATCACGACAAGTGTCTGAGGCTGAATGTCGAATTGAAGTTGAACGTCAGCGTGTACAGAATGCAGAGAAACAGTCTGAGCAATGGCGTATCAGAGCGAGGGAAGCTGAAGAAGCGAGATCAGCATTAGCGCTTCAGATCAATGAACTGTTACAAGCACGCTGTACTGAAGCAATGCAGGTAATTGCTATTATAAACTTTTTTTCATCACCAAATACTATGAATATGTTCCGTTCATTGGCACCAAACAACCTTGAGAAAAGAAAAGTTTTGTCCCACTTCCTATCAATGAGAAGAAATTCATAATTACATCATTTTCTTGCTCATTTGCAGGCTGTTATCATATATGAAATAGTTTCCAGGTTGTATCTTCCTTCAATGATGAGATGATAAGTAGTATGAAGTATGTAATCATTTTCACAATATTTTCCATCAAGAATTATACTCTTTCTGACAGATAGAACTAAATGAAACTAAACAATTCTGTGCATCACTAGTTGATATTAATTTCAAACCCAAATCTCTTCGTATCATTTAAGGGATCCTGTGCCTAATAAAGGAGACCTGAGCTCCAAAATAATACAGTTTGTCTTGCAATAACTCAGTAGTCCTTTTCATTTAAAATTTGTATCTTGCAGAATTGAAGGCCTTAAGGATATTTCTTTTCGGATATAAACTGTCCTCTGGTATCAAGAAGAATGCTTACTAAATCCCGTTATGTACATATTATGAAATTTGGTCCTTCATTTTAAATCAGATGATAGGTTTTATGGTACGGACAGGAATTTCAATCCATAGTGAATTTAATTTTGACTTGAAATTTTCAAACAATGCATCTAGTTTGTCATGCTTCTTCGGATACAAGCACCCAAACAAACTACCCTATCTCTTTTTATTCAGATGGGAGCAGCCATTTATAAAGCAACCAGGTATGAAGTTGACACAGATTTACAAACTAAAGTCTTCAGATTACAGATTCCTTTTGACTAATTGCTAAAGAATATTCCTAAATGTCTGTAGATTTGTATAAACCAACAACTTTACCAGATCTCATTTTCATTCGAGCTTCTGACTCATTCTCATAAGTACTTTTCGTTATTCCACTTAACGTTTTAGAATTGTTAAGATGACTGTATCTAGATGTATATGGAAGTTTGTTGTCATTTGACTAAATTGTCATCTTTAACTCTTCCATTAAGGAATCGGGAAGTTGTTTAAGAATATTTAACCAATATTCAGTTTTTTAATCTGTAGAATTAAACAGACTCTGAAATAATGTATCATGTACACAGTTGCCTATCAGTATCTAGAACATAAACCCTATCAGCATATGAAGGCTTCTATTACATTTAGGTTATAGTTTTCTAAAATGATTTTTATTTCATTTCATCATCCAACTACTCTTGAACACAACAGATCAAAATTTTATTACGATTTCTTTAAATATGTACCCGTTAAGACTAGGCATTCATACGACCACTATCTTCAGACAGTTTCCATTCTCCAACCAACACCTCCCCACGCCATAGAGAAAGCGAAAAATTCGAAGTGCGGAAATATCTGATGGAAACTAAAAGCCATGTGTAGAGGTGCACAACCTACAGATTGTAAAATGTCATGCATTTAGAAAGAAGAATTACTCTACATAATGATCCGAAAGGTGCATAAATCAGTTATACTTCGGAGAGAAACTTCCCTCCAACTTCTCTTGTGCAACAATCATGCTAAAACCAAATAAGTTGACTTGACTGCGGCTAACTAACCATAACGAATAGATAATTTGTGTACTTATTGTGAAGGAAATCACAGCTGTGAGCTTCAGCAACAGACGATTACATTAGATCAGTGCTATTGATCACATGTTTTGATACAACATCTGGTATGGAAAATTTGCATAATACTGTAATTCAAAAACTGTAACGTAATTCGTGAAAATTTGAAATATTCGCATTCCTTTTTCACCCAGATCCTTCGATCTAATCTAACTGTTACTTCATTGGATCATCCTACTATTAATGGCTGTGCGAATCAAAATGCTGAGGTGTGTATTACAGCTGAATCTCGACCAGTTGGTTGTGAACTGGTCGTCCAGCATACGAAGAGAGATGAATCCGAAAGGCAAGAGGAACCCGACAAAAGTCTATTCCAGACCAGCACATGTGAGATTCAAGTTGTGTCTAACGTAGATAAAGAGCGTGAATGTCAATATATGTGAAATATTCTCAGCTTATAATCCGTCTACCCTCGAAGATACTACATTTTTGTGATACTGTTATGTGTACCCGTAGTGTAAGAATTTGTTTTGAATTTTTACTTGTTTTGTGGTGTACACGCATGTTTACCGGTGCTGTTTGTAGCACTTTTGAATATTTGAATTAGAAAAATTTGTAAAATAGAATAACTAATGAATAGTTACCTTTGCTGTGAACATTTCTAGGCCATCTTCTTACGGATTCTAAATCTATATCCTCACTTCATCCATCCAAATCAATATAGGACCAGGTATCACTGCATAACGGTCTGAGTTGCCACACCTCATATCAGTACATCAAGTAAAAAGACAATAAAGTGGAAGATGAAAAAAAACCTTCAAGCAAAGAAATATAAAGTACGAGAAGAGGGAAAGGAAGAATGAGAAAATGGTGAGATTCAGAACAGCGTTAAGACGAGGATGTGTGTATACATCTACCCCACTGACATAGGTTCTCAGTCACATCGCCTAGGTCTCCACCACTGGTTCCTCTTGTCCCGCGAACCCCAACCAACTAGTCTGCATTGCCCCAGATGGCTTAAGCCAACAATCAAAGACTTCACACATTGGTGCCATGTTTCGGTCTGGCCACCTCGGGCCATTTTTCAGTCTGAACCTACTTCGGCCAACATTGTGTGGTGAGGAAATCGGCAACTAGGCATAAGTAAAACATGTCCCAACCAGCTATCTCAGTCGATGAAGGCTCACAACCACATCAACTCACTTACCTCTTCTCCCTGAAACCTACACCTGACCTCTGCGTTACTCACGTGGTGACACCATGGAAGGCAATGGTGGTCAAACACCTGATGCCAGCCTTCTCATGTCTACCACCTTCAATAGCCTATGTTCACACTCATACAGTAGAACAGAGTGGACTGCTGTGCATGTGCAGTACACGTGACCCTTAATAGACAACCGAATATCAAGGCGGTGCCATAGGTGGCGTAAGTTGGCGAAAGCCAACAGACCCTTTTGTATTCGTGCAGAGATTTCATCGCCCACTGAGCCACCAGGGTTGATCCCACTTCCCAGGTAAGTGAAGTGGTCGACACACTCAACCACTACACTCTCTATTGTTAGCCGTGACACCGTTGAAGACCAATCCTGGAGCAACAATTTGCATTTGGTGATGAGAAATGCATCCTAAACATTCTTCACCTAACAGGACTTTGTCATCTGCATATTCTAGGTCTATGGAAAGTTCTTCTGCGATTAGGTCAACCTCTGTGTAGTCAGGTGACGAGAGGGAGACCTCCATAAGAATATCTATGATAAAATTGAATAAGAATGGAGAGAGTCGGCATACCTAACGAATACCACTCCACCAGTGCAGCCCCCTAAGATCTCGCCATATACTCTAACTTGGCCACAAGTGTTCGAGTAGAGAACCTTCGATAAGGTGATGCACTCACTTGGCACGCATTTCCGTGAGAGACACTGTCATAAGATTTCTCGATCAACGGAGTCGAAAGCCACCGCCTTCACGTCGAGAAATATAGCTATTCTTGGACGTCGGTAAACGTATCTGCGTTTCAGAACCTGGCGCAGTGTGAATATTTGGTCGGTACACACACGGCCGGGTCTAAAGCCTGCCTGGTTTTTTCGGGCTTGCTGTTCCCACGCTCCACTCAGGCGTCGAAGAATTATAGAACTCAGAATCTTAGACACTGTTCGTCAGGCTGATTCCTCTGTGGTTATCACAAGAGGACTTCTCACCTTTCTTAAAGACTGGGATAATCAGTGATTTAAACCAGTCAGAGTGGACAGTATTTGATTCTCATATACTGGTTAACACCTGCATTAACACAACTAAGAGCACTCTACTACCATCTTTGTGTACCTCAGGAGTTAATCCGTCTACGCTGCCGTCCCTCTGCGTTTCAGGTTACCTACCGCTTTCTCGACTTCTCCTAGTCTTGAGGGACCTATCTCAATGTTACATTCAGGATCCGACTGGATAGCGGGCAACACAATGGTGGCTGGAGGTCAGTTAAACTGCTTCTCGAAGTGTTCTGCCCATCGTTCCAGTCGCCCTCCCTGTGAGTGAATCGCAGACTCATCCTTCTCCACTACAGCCTAACTAACCATCGTTTTTTCTGCCTGTTTCCTTACTGTGTTTAAATAACTGTCTGCTGGTAACTATCGTCATTGCATTTCTCATCTCTTTAGCCTTCACTGTCAACCACTGATCGCAGCCACTGAGTAGACCTTTTGTTAGTCTACATTTGAGTTGCGTTCACTCCTCATTGTACTCACAGCCTGCAGGGATGTGTTCACGTGCATTCATTGATTCCAAAGAAGCTGCTGATATCCACTGGCTCTTTTCAACCACTATTTGACAGTCAGTAACGGTTTTCAACGCTGCTTTTACACCAGACTGGAGATGGCACCAAGCTTCTTCTGGATCAGTGAGAGTGTTCTCTTCCGATAACTGCCTAGCCAATTTCTCACTGAAAGCGGCTTTCGTGTTTTCGTCATCCAGCAGCACTCGTAATGGTTTTGTTTTTCCCTACGTCCATTGAGACACAGGCATATACGAGCTCGGACCAACGCGTGGTCTCTATCCAAACACGTACTCCAGAAGGTCGGCAGTCTTTCACCGATCCTCTCTAGCGGTGACTAATACCAATGTGGTCTATCTGTGTCCATCGCTGAGTTGACCTCGGTGGACGCCACGTCAGACAGTGTCTTTCTTTATGTCTGGAATTTGTGCTAGCTAAAAATAGGCGGTTATCTGAGCACAGCTGTAGTAGGCGATCACCGTTTTCTGTTCGTTCAGCCAGGACTCCGAAAGTGCCACCTAAGTGCATTTCTGCCTCACTCAGTCCACCCACCTGTGCATTGAAGTCACCTGCAACAGCCACCACGTCCGAACGTTTGGCTTTCGAGAGGAGGCTAGACAGTTTTCGATAGAACTCGTCCTTCACTTCATCCCAACTACAGTCAGTCGGTGCGTAAGCAGACATTACAAAGAGACAACGGCGAGTTTCACTACTCCCTTTTACTTCTCACTGTGCCGTTCAGTCGGATAGCGCAGAGGCGACTGTCAACTGGGATCCAGTCTAGTAGTCAGCTTTCTGCCCTAGTGCTTAGTGCTATGCCTACACCTGCAAGACCACGAGAGCTAGCTATCGGATCTCCAGAAACTCGAAGGGTGAATTTTGCGGATTCATCAGATTGGCCGGGAGATGTTAGGGGAATAACCGCACTTGGGTCCTGTATGCGTGTCTCACAAACACAGCACACATCTATGCCCCGAGTTGCTACAGTCTCTGCCAACGAAGCCTGTTGACCAACTTGACGGAGGGTGTGGACATTGAAGACCCCAATGTGTAATTTGGAGCGTGGTTTAAGGAGACCAAGGATGCTGTTCTGTGGACTCAGATCGTTGTGGAAGCCTGCAGAACTAGGAGAAATTAAAGGTGATTTAGTATTGTTAATTGAGAGACGTGAAGGAAGACTATAAGGTAATGATGAAATAGTTGGATAGCAGTCAGAAGAAACTTGAGTGCTGACAGAGTTGTGAGGACGGGTGACACTTCCCGGCTGCCACACCGTGGAAGGCTATTTCTTCTTAAGGTACCTGAAAGAGATTTGCATGGCCATAGAGCCAATCGGATATCTGTTTGAGGCCTGTCACACAGCCTTTTGTGTATGATTATTTTGAACTTTTGTATTTTTGGGGCCGAATGGTTGAAAAGAAACGACAAATGAACCAACACCGCCAACCAGGCAGACTGTGGGGTATGGTGGAGTGTGTTATTTTTGGGGCATTATTAGCATGGCACTGCTGGTCATCCAAGGGCAACACCTTACTGCTATCACACCCCATCCAGCTAACAGCAGTACGACTTCGCTCTCAAACCCTCATCATGAAGTAGTAATTTACAGCATAATGGTAACTGCTTTTCGTCTAACCACTATCCAACAGACCTTTCTGGTATGGTAGGACCTCGAGGGAACAAGTGTTCCACCAGCATAGCTCGTTGGGTCATTGTGGTATCCGATCCCGACCACCGCGTCAAGGTAGTAGCTATCGGTCGGGGTTCTCACTGTTTACCTTGTGACATAGAGCTAGGAATCTTCTATTTAATAGGTGCTCAACATTCAACCGAGGGTTCGAAATTTGCTTTTATTAACGATGTTCCCGTAGTCAGTTATCACTGTAGCTCTTACACAAAAGGCATGCCTTATTATCTAGCATTTTGTTAGATTTGTAGTTGTCTAGCTGCACTGTTGTGGTTTGTTTATACCATTATGTCATTTGATGCACTGAAAGTATTGTTTGCTGTTAACTCAAAAGACGGTGACTGTTTTCATTTTGCCTGAATCTTTGATTAAGGCTGTTGTTTGTATTGAAGAAATCTAAGATACTTTGTGAAAGCGAAATAAACCGAGCAGCCTTATGCACGTTCATGCAGCAGGAAATGAATCACACTGTGTCAGGGCTAGTAATACTACCTGGATGCCAAGACCTCGGTAGGTGGAGCGACGTTCGATTCCATGAGCTATCGGTTGAAAATCAAGTGCCTAAACCAATGTGACACAGCTCCGAAGATACTTTGGATTATTAGGTAACAAAGATTGTGACATTACACAGTCTATCTATTGTTGTAAAAGCAGTGGCTGTTTGGAGTCAAGTGGCTATTGGCTCATGATGCTTCTTACCACTTTGGGTAAATATTAAGCATCCTGGGGCATTATCTTTGTTGCATTGGCAGATAAATTAGTCTAAACAGCAAAGGAATTTACATCACAGTAGTTTATCAAAGGTTTGTGCTATTATAGAAATGGTAGCATCGTGGTGCGAAAAGGAATTGGTTCACAATAGGGACTGACAACTCAGGAGAAACCATGCGAAATCTACGGTAGCTTGTTTAGGCAGTTAATATCACCTGATCACAAGAAAAACAAGTATCGTGCATGGCCTAGTTTCTTATTTTTGTATCCGTGACCAGTGA